GGTTGTTAATGATTCTTCCTCCAATCCTGATACCACGTTTTTCTTCATATAGTCCAGCTTCTCGGATTATTTGCTCAGCATATAGATTGAATAAATATGTAGGAACAATTATTTAGATGTAACAAAAAACTTACCTTTTCCAAATATTTTCTCACATCGTGCATCAAGATCATGGCAGTCTCCATCATAACACACAAATTGGTTGTTTTTGCATAAATGTCCATTGTGTATAGTTACATCAGGCTCGCAGGCTGGTGAGCTTCCATTACAAAACTCAGTAATGTCACATTCAGGATGCACTCTGGGCCTACATTCAATTCCTGATTGAGCAATCTAATAGAAATTAGAATACAAAAAATACAATGTTATATGTAAGACTTTTAGGTGTACAAATATTTCAAAATTGTGTTAATTCCATTTATTCTCTGGTAATCTATTCATTATTATTTATTTAGTATCTATCCCTCTCGTCCACCACTTGCCTATCAGTCTGTCGTACTATGGTACCTTGTGTGTTACTATGAGGCTGAAGGATATGCTACCAGTATTTCAAATACCTGCAGGGTCATGCATGGTGGACAGGTTTCAGGGGAGCTTCCAGACTAACACAGACTGGGAAGAAGGATGGAGCCATCCACTTTTGAAAATAATGGTGTGAAAACCTTATGAATAGCAGTGAAATAGTGCTATCTGAAATAATATTGGAAAACTCTGAATAGCCCTGAAACACTGCCTGATTTAGTGCTGGAAGATGAGCCCCTCAGATTGGAAGACACTCAAAATATGACTGGGGAGGAGCTGCCTCCTCCAAGAAGAGTTGACCTTAATGATGTGGATGGATTAAAGCTTTCAGGACCTACATTTGGAGTCCCATGCAAAATTGGAAGAAACAGCTGCAAACATCCATTAATAATCAGTATGTGGAATGTACAGAGTATGAATCTAGAAAAATTGAAAGTTGTCAAAAACTAAATGGAATTCATAAAGATCAACATCCCAGGCATTAGTGAGCTGAGATGGACTGGTTTTGGCCATTTTGAATCAGACAATCATATGGTTTACTATGTTGGGAATGACAAACTGAAAAGGAATGGAGCAGCACTCATCATCAAAAAGAATGTTTCAAGACCTATCCTGAAGTACAGTGCTGTCATATGATAAGATCCCTATACCTAGAAGGAAGACCAGTTAATACTACTATTAATCGAATTTATGCACCAACTAATAAACCAACAGTCACTCTCTCACTGCTGTCAAATCAGTCTCAATTCATAGTGATGCTTCCTTGGGTTTCCAAGACAGTATCTCTACAGAAGTAGATTGCCCAGTCTTCCTTCCAAGGAGTGCCTGGTGGATTTGAACTGCCAACCTTCTGGTTAGCAGTCAAAGGCCTTAGGCACTACACACCAGAGCTCCTACTAAAGCCAAAGATGAGGAAATTAAAGATTTTTACCCAATTCAGCAGTCTGAAATTTACCAAACTTGCAATCAAGATGTATTGATTATTACTGATGACTGGAATTCAAAAGTTGGAAACAAAGAAGAATCACCAGTAGATGGAAAATATGGCCTTGGAGATAGAAATGATAGTGGAGATCACATAACAGAATTTTTACAAGACCAATGATTCATTCATTGCAAATAACCTTTTTTCAACAACATAAACGGGGCTTGTTTTGGTTACTTTGTGCTGCTTTAACAGGCAATGCCACAAATAGGTGGCTTTAACAAACAGAGATTTATTCTCTTACAGTTTTAGAGGCTAGAAGTCCAAATTCAAAGTGCCAAGCTCTAGGGGCTGGGTGAAAGCCCCTCAGTCTTAGGCTTCAGCTCTGCCTCTTGTTCCTGGCCCACTGGAGCTACAGGTGTCCCTTCACTTAGGCAGCTGCCAGCTGCTGAGGCTAACTAGCCCAAGGTCAAAAAACAAAATGGCACTGTCCCAACATTACCATATGACATGGCAGACCGCTAGTTCAAGTCCAGTGACAGTCCCAAGATCAGGAGGAAACACAACAGGCTGCTAAATGAAGACTTGGCTACATGTAGGTTCCAAGCCTGCCAAAAAGCTGCAGACCATTCCTAAAGCTTCTTCTTATATACTACAAGCAGCCCACATCCCTAGGCCAGCTACTCAGCTGCTCATGACAGATTCCACCATGGAGTTAGTTGATTGCTAGCTTCATCATGGGGCATAACTACAATCAGCTGCCCAGCCACTCAAAACCAGGTCCAGCCAAGTTGACACATAACTTTAACTACCTTAGCAGGACTATACTGGTGGACCTCACCAGAGGAAATACACAGGAATCTGATTGACTCTATCTGTAGAAAATGGTGACAGAGAAGCTCGATACACTCCGCCAAAATAAGGGTAAGAGTTGACTGTGAAACAGACCATCAATTGCTCATATGCAAGTTCAACCTGAAGCTGAAGAAAAATTTCAAAATTCCACAAGAGCCAAAATATGACCTTGATTATATCCCATCTGAATTTAGAGACCACCTGAAAGATAGATTTGACACATTGAACACCATTGACTGAAAACCAGACAAGTTGTGGGATGACATCAAGAATATCATATATGAAGAAAACAAAAGGTTATTAAAAAAAAACAGAAAAGAAGGAAAATACCAAAAGGAATGTCAAAAGAGACTCTGAAACTTGCTCTTGAATGGAGGGCAGCTAAAGTGAATGAAAAAAAAAAAATGACAAAATAAAAGAGCTGAACAGAAGATTTCAAACAGCAGCTCAACAAGACAAAGTCAATCTTTATAATGAAATGCGCAAAGACTTTCAGTTAGAAAACCAAAAGGAAAGAACATGCTCAGCATTTCTCAAGCTGAAAGAGCGGAAGAGAAAATGCAAGCCTCTAGTTGCAATACTGAGTGATTCTATGGGCAAAATATTGAGTGATGCAGGAATCATCATTAAAAAGGTGGAAGGTCGGCTACCACTGTCATCCACTTGGGAGGGATGTAGGAGATCCTGCATAGAGAGGGATAACAATGTGGAACAAAACTCAAAATCATTTCGAGGCAAAAAAGAAAAAGAAGGTGGGGACCAGGTTTGCTGGTCCAATAGAGCCTGGTGGAACCACTGA